TTTTTTTAATATGTTGACATATTTTATAGATAAAAATATGAGATGAGTACGAGTTTCGCGAAAAAAAATTTAGATTTTTTGTGAATATTCATATTAAAATTTTTTTTCGCGAAACTCGTGTTTCATCTGTACTCGATTTTTATCTGTAGAATATATCAGCAAATTTAAAAAAAATTGAAAATGATGTTTTAAAGATGTCCGGTTTGACGTGGAATGGTTCTTCAATGAAACGATGTGTGACCTTAATTTCGCTCCGTTTTATCACGTTATTATTCATATAACTTTATTTATTGACATAAATACGTATATACAACGTTTATCATCCACTTATTAACATTGCTAAAATGCTAGCACGCGAGCTACCGTTATCTGATAATATTTATGATCATCTCATAATTAAATAAGATTACTAAAAAATATAACTCCAATTCATTAAATAAAATTGTTGTTTATCTTTAAAGAGATAAGTAAATTATGCGTGTGACGATCAATGTGTCAGCTGTGCAATCTGTATAACCCATGTAAGATGACATGTACGACATCTCATTATAGAATAAATTTTATTAGGTGTTGGAATTAATTCGTAGCGTTTTACAAGTGATGGGAAGTACTTTCATTAATGTATTTTTTAATTCTCATGTGAAATAAATAACATTCTTTCATTAAAAACGCTACGAATTAATTCCAACACCTAATATATTTAAATTTTTTATTATATATAAAGACTGTATAAGGCTAAATACCGATTCATGTATTTAAAATAACAAATAAATTATTCTCTCGTATCATTTATATCAAATGTACATGTCTAAATGCAATTACAGTCTTGCAGCAAATGCAGTACATGTCTTTATATATAATAAAAAATTTAAATATAAAATTTATTCTATAATGAGATGTCATCTTACATGTCATCTTACATGGGTTATACAGTTCAAAACCTTTTTTTATCAATATAAATAATAATTTTGCTTGTTGAACACAAATCCATTATCAAAATTTGTACTTATAATTGAATCATACATAAAATCATAAATCAAAAGCAACAAAAAATTCACAAAATACAATATGGAAAATTATAATCGTAAATTTTAATATACATATAAAGATTACGATTTTTCTGTTATATTATATTTTTGTTAATTTTATTGCTTTTTGATTTAGTATAATTCAACTATTATATTATATAGGTATAAAAGCATATTTTACTCCGTACATAATGTATTAAGATGAACAAAAAATCTTTTTACATGTGTTACATGAGAAAAAAACTATTTTCAAATTACAACTTTAAATCCGAAGCGCCACTACGGTCTAAGTATTAAGATGTTGAACTAATATATATATTTTCAACGAATGAATTAATTTCAGAAATGATAATTACGTGCCGATATGATTGTCGACATTAACGCAATTGATCTGAAATGTTAATAATCCCCCCAAAATTCCCCAAATTATTTTCAAATTGTTGTATTTCGAAAACGAAAAATCAAACAAAAATAAAAATTTATTTTAAAGCTAATATTGATATTTTCGCATTAATAAAATTTAGAAAAATATTTGTTGCCGATATTACAATGTGATGAAAATCATAATTTTTTTGCCTCTTATTTGTCATTTTTCTCAAAATTCTTAATAACTAAATTTCGATTAATAGATTCGTATTCAACAAGTAAACATATCAGAATTAACTATATTCATACTCATGAAAAAAGGATCGGATAGAATTATCCGTCATCATCGTCACCATCGCATTTAGCGTTGAAACATATTATAGGAAGAAACGAGATACTTCCTTCCCGTATTACGTATCGATTTACGGACATTTGACAACGTCCAGACCAGTCCAGGCCAAGCAGCTGCAGCGGCGGAATGTCTCAAGAACGCACGTCGACGTAACGTAGTCGAATTTATTTGTAGTCGTTTGCGACTCGAAAAGTGAGGATATTAAGTGGACCCAAAAGCCAGAATTCCGATACGTGTATACGAAGCGACCAGTCGACTGTTGAGATATAATCAGAGAACATAGTGAGGGGTTGACGAAACTGGCCCATGCCAGGGGCGCACACCCGCTTATCATAGGTCGACTAATCACTGTGTGAAGTTCAATATCAAGATTATACACGTGTCGAGATTCTGACTCTTCATGATTGTAAAGCGCTTTTTACTAGTAACCTGGCATCTTGCGAACGCTGTTTTAGCAAGCTTAAATTGAAAAAATTATCTCCGTTCTTCGATGAATGAAAGAAGATTGAGTCTTTCTTTATTATCAATTGAACATAAAGTCTCACAAATTAATCTTGATGATATAATTAATAAATTTTTGTAGTCAAAGCGAGAAAAGTGAAATTTTTACATTTTTGAAACTTTATATAACTTTAAAAATTATAAAATATTTGTACTTTCTAATATATTAATGTTTAAATGTATAGATTAGAAGACATTTTTTTATCTTGCATCTTACATCATACTGCAGTAAAGTTATAATTATTGTAGAAAAGATTTTTCTCAGGAAAGGGGATACCAATATATTTCCTTGCTGAAAGGGCGCAATAAACTCTCGTTACATCTCTGGATATAATCCCGACAATTTATTATTTCGTGCATGTCTCTTTATCGGATAATATGAATCGCTTCCGTTGGAGATTCTGTGATGAGATATCTTCGATCACGGTCTAAATATATTACCGTTAGTTTTTATACGGATGCAAACGTCTCGAGCGACCCTTGAAGGATCAAGCCTATATTTTTTTATTTTTAAAGACTTGAGCTTAAATAATCAATCCTTGAGAAAATCCTATCTGTAATAAAATCCTATCTGTAATAAAAATACATTTGTAGATCTTGTAACTTTAATTTTTTACCTCTTGATATTTTAAGCATAAACATAGTATTGTGCATTGCATGTATATTATTAATCCTTAGTACACATCTTAGTTTTTGGCACCCTTAATACACACGTTCGGTCATTCGTGTTCTAATTCGTGGATTAATTTTCATCACTTTTACAAGTATAAATAAATTATTAAACTCTAAAGATGTCAAAATATATGTAAAAATTGTTTAATAATTTATATATACTTGTAAAAATGATGAAAATTCCAGGACATGAATGACCGAACGTGTGTATTAAATTATATTACATATTATACTTTCTATTTGTGCAATTATATGTATATTCATGACAAATTATAGATAAATTGTTATAACTAAATTTAGTTAATGAAATAAGAAAAATGCATTTTTTTATATAAAAATATAAAACTGAAACAAAAATGTTGAAACTGAAAGAAAAATATAGTTCAATATCTTAAAATTGATATTCTTAATTACAAAAAAGAAATAGTTCAAGTGTCAGCTGTCCAAAAAGTTTAGTTATAGAATAACTTAAAAATCAGATTTTTTTTTAATATGCATGAATGGCTACATTGAAGATATATTGCATTTACATTTTAAACAATGCATTTTATTATTGCTATTGTGTTGAAAAAAACTTATAATTTATTAGGAAAATGTTCTTTATAACATTACAGACATAATATATAATATTATTGACAACATTTACAAGGATACCAAAAATCGTGTTTATTAAGCTATTGTTTTAGAGTTAAATTTTTTTTTAATAAATTCACGAAATATTTCTGCAATACAACCAAGAATTAGTCGAAAATAAAGAAAAAAAAATAAAAATTTTTTAATTATAAAAAAATGTACGCTCTTTACACACGTTAAGTCATTTGTGACCCAGAGGTGAACTTCGGAGTTATAAGCCCGATCTATATAAGACGCAGAACGTTGATCGCAAAACTATTACAATCTAAATCGTATTTTAGATTGTAATAGATCGCAATATGTAAGACGCAAGACGCAGGACGCGAAAGTTGAAGTTCACCCAATTTTCTGCGTTCTGTTTTTTGCGTCTTACAACCATATTATAATTAAAGTACGTTAGAGATTAATTTCTAATTTTGCGACCTGTATTCTGCGTCGCGAATTCTGCATCTTATGTAGATCGAGCTTTTATGCCAGTTAAAGGATGCGCATGAATTGAGACCAGTAACTCACAAAACTTGTTCTCTAGATGCCAAACTTTGTTTAGGAATAGAAAAGAGACCGTATTTGACCAGGAGCTCTTACAATTAGTAGGGTAACTGCGGGTAATATGTCAGTTATTCTACACAACGAGTGACATTCCCTGGGGGAATATGCTACTCGTTATGTTTAACATAATAATATTGATTAGCAGCATTTGCGTTAGTATCACAAAATTATTTACAATCGTGTGCTTAACGTTGCATAAGTATCAAGAATTTTTTGGCAACAGTATTGTTTTTATGACGGTATGATATACGAAAATGTTTTACAACTTTTATAATATAGTGCTTTAAGTAAGTTATTATTTAAATATTTCACACAATATTTAACTCGATTAGCTTGTTAATATATTAATGATTAAAAGAATGATTTAAAGATTAAAATGATTTAAAGATTAATTATAATGATTTAAAGATTAAAATGAAAATATTTAGTACATTGTTGATTCATTTTTTAACAGCCGTATTGTACTCATTATAAGATGAAATGGCGTTTTGGGCAATATGCCACTACTTTTGTTAGCCCAGCAAACGAGAATGGATTGAAATGGATTAAAATGGATTCAGATTTTCAGAAATACAGATTCATGAATGGAATTAAAATATATCCTTTTCAATCCTGAATGCATTTTTATTCATTTATAGGAAATGCATGAAACAAATGTCTATTTTTTTCAATCTTTAATGCATTTTTATTTATTTATAGAAATGGCATGGAGTATATTTCTATGCTTTTCAATCTAAAAATAATATTATAGTATTTTGTGTGTGAATACTGCTCAATTCAATATTCTGAATAAGAAATACAATTTTCAATTTAATTGAATAAAAAATATTTTTATTTAAAAATGAATCATAAATGCTACTTAAATTATTCAAAATTATAAGTAGGAAATTTTTCGTTTTAATCCAACTAAGTTCAAGTTTTTTATTTTGTTGCAAATGATAAATATACACGATGTGCGATAGCTTTATTTCTGCGCTAAGGTCTTCAGAAGGGTGCGATAATCGTCGTTGCAACAGCAGTTGGCAATCAAGCGGTGCTCCCTGCAGCTGTTGGCATGTAGGAATCGACAGTCTGCTGATTTACATTGATAAGGTAAATCGTAAGGATCGGTACAGCAGCAGGCGTCGTGGAACAATTTCTCGCCGCAATAAGGATAAATCGAACTATCGCATAGAGGACATCTGCAATAAAAATATAAAATTAAAATATGAATTTTGTTCAATCCGAGAACAGTTATCTAGGTTTTTATTACATAAACGTCACCATATTTCATAAACAATCACCATAGAGTTGATTTTTATATCCTAATTTATAAATTATTATTACTAATATATTGCATTATTGTTGATTATTCTACAATTTATTAGTATTGAGTTATTTTGTGTAAATATAAATAGATTTACTGATATATTTTCTAGTAATATAAAAAAATAGATAAAGTAGGATTAATGATTCTCGATCAATAAAGAAAACTACTGTAAATGAGAGAGAGAGAGAGAGAGAGAGAGAGAGAGAGAGATTGAACTTTGTTTTCTTGCTGCTGTAAAAATTAGCTCAGATGACATTTCCAGGTTAATTGCTTTTTTGATGCACATACGTATAAAGATACATATGTGTATGATATACATACACATATATGTGTACACAGGTGAATCAGAGTAGAACCAATTTTTTACTCTATGAGAAAATTATCGATTACACACCTAATTATTGACTTAACGATATAGATCGGATGCTTGGATAACATCGTGCTAATTTAAGCGCAAAAACAGGTATATTTGACGTTGAGTTGTGAAAATTATTAAGTGATATTAAAAATGCGCCTTTTTCTCAATGCGTCCAGCAATTTGCACGATGTATCCACGTTTCTGATCTGTATCGCTAAGTGAGGTAGAGATGGGCGATTCGGATCGAGAAGAGATCTTTTGGAGAATTGATCTTTTCGATTTCCGGTTTTTTTAATTGATTTTCGTGTCTCAATTAAATCGCAGATCGGTTCTTTCACGGAAAAATTAAATTGATCATTCGACTTTGAAAACGAACAGTGCGAGTCGATCATATATTTTTTATAAACTTATAGCGAATTCAATTGAACGCATTCAATGCGCATTGCATATTAAAACATACACAAATTAACGTAAACATATGTTTATAAATAAATGGAATAAATCGTGAAATACTCAATATACTTTATTGTGCTGTGAGGTAAAATATGTATTTTATAATTTGAAATATTTGCAATTTACATTTTACTTTTACACTTAAATTGAATCAATGTACAACGGTTTTATTATGCACCAGTATACATTAGTGCGTCTAATCGAATTCGCCATTAAACTCTAAAGACTTAAAGACAAGTTTGTTTTGCTTTATTTTACACGAATAAATTTTCTGAATTTCAAGGCAAAAACGAGTGTAATTCCCACTGATATGTATATGTGGTTGTGCTTGTGCTTTTGTGTGATGTAATGGCAACATTGGGTTTTATTGAGATATGACCGGAGCACAAACTCTTACATAACGCATAATGCATAGCGCATAAAGGAATCGACCAATCGAAATTCTTTTTTCCATGAAATGAGAGGAAAGGAAAGATTCTGATTAGTTGATTCTCTTATGCACTATGTGTTATGCATTATGCAAAAGTCTGTGCTACGGGACGTGTAGAGAAATAAATATTAATTATATTTAATAATTATTTAATGACAAAAGATCTAATGACTAATATTGATTCTTAATATTGATTTTTAGTTAAATTGTATAATGCAAAATAAATTGATTTTGTGAAAATGAATATAAGAAATTTATAAACTTACCTTTGTGGTTTGTATCCGAGCGAAGGAAAAGGATAATTTCCTTGAAATTGCCGTACATTCTCTGGTGAAGGTGTTAATGGCATGTTTATCACATTTGTTGCCCCTGTCATATGATTGCCTGCCAGTTTCTCGTGTTTATCTGAAAGGCGCTCATAAAAGAATTTTCATTTAAACAGTAATAAAAATATTTGAGAAAGAATTTTTATTAAAAAGAAATACATTACGTATAATATGTGATTAAAACTAAAATATTTTTTATTTATATTTATAAAACAAAGAACATATTATTAGTAACATGATCACATGTCATTTTTGTTATTTAATTTGTTTCACAATTCTTAAAAAATAACACTCTTTTTTATTTGTGACGATTTTGATATCTTATGAAATTATAATAAATTCGTAATAATTCATCAAATATGACAACTCGAAATATCATCAACATTTATATCATGATCAACTTTAAAATGATTAAATTTAAAATAAAACAATTTCTTCTTCAAAATTTCGATTACCAAAACTGTTTTAATTCTAAAGAAAAGTTTTCTATAGAAAATTCTCTTTCTTATTTACAAAAACGACACTCAAAATGTGTTACTAGATTAAAAAATTAATATTTAATTTATATAACTATTTAAACAAAAATTATTAAATCTTTATTTTATTTATACACATTAAGATAATAGCACATGATATTATTATCACAAATAATATCATTAACATAGCATTTTTTTTAAATCATATAATAAATATGCTCAATAATTTTGCGACAAAAAAATTATTCAAATAAATTGAAGAAGTCATATCAAGACGACAAATTACTATCTATATACAATTTAAATACGATTTAATTAATAAACTTCTTTTTTACAGCATGTCACAGAAAATATCGTTTTCTTTGATGTGCAATTAAATAATTATTGAGTAAATTAACTCACCTGATAGACCAAATGCACAACAATGTAATAAAACGCCGAAAAGAATTAATAGTGACATTTTCTCCTTAAAAAAAAAACGAACAAGATTAAAGTTTCCGCGCGCACTCGCTGCAGCTCTTGAAGCGGCTGAGATTTTTCAAACAAATGAGATCGTTCACTGTTCGTGCTCTTCGATTTCTTTCGTAAACCCACGTAACTTTTAGCTGGGCCTCGCCTTCCTCGTAGAACGCGGTCGATGTACCCGTTACTCGTAACTGGTTGATGATCATCTTTCTCTTCTTATGTGTCGGTGAGTCCAAAATAGAAAAAAATGCAGACGACGTATGCAGACGACGTACATGTTGGAAAATAATAATAAATATCTTCATAAATAATTTTGTTCACGGTGCGTATAATATTATTTTCATTAAAAAAATTATAAGAATTTTTTAAACAAGAACAAATAATTATTTCTCATCGAATATTCTGCTTTATCAAATAATTGCAAATAAATATATACATATTTATATATTTTTCGCAATCATATGTTTTTAAAAGTTACTATATTTGTATTACTTGCAATATGTGTGTGTGTGTGTAATTGGTTACATATATATTATTATTATAAAATTTTATTATATATACAGTCGAACCTCTATAAAAGTAACTAAAAAAGTAACTTGGGACCGACCGACCTTCGTAAAAGTAAACAAATGCGTATGCACGAGCATATGTGCTCGATTATTATATGAGAGATTAAAACATGATTTTTACGGAGATTCTGTTTACGGAGACTGTATTTCCTGATTAATTTAAAAGAAAGAATTACATAATTTTATATGATATTATATCATATAAAATTTAATATTGTATAGTATAAAATTCTACTGTAACTTTTTATCTAAAAAACAATAAAAAATTAGTTAATAATTTTTATTTAAAAAATGATAATCTTTGTAAAAAAAAAATCGATTTATGATGTTCCTCCAATTAATACTGTTTAAATTTTGTTATCAATTGAATTATTGTGTGACGCTTAACGTTACGAATGAAAAAAATTTGATATCCAACTATATCTACGTCAATTTTAAAGTAGAATTGGATGTATATATATTAAATTGAGAAATGTAGATCGAAATGAGGCGGATTAGCTAGAAAGTCCAGGCAATTTTTTTTTCATAGAATTGTTATGCTTGAGCTTTTATCTTTATGATAAGAAAACAATTCCATTCAACAATTCATGATAAATCAAGCAAACCATTCAATAGTAAACATAAGCACCAATAGTAGAATAATGCATGTTGTTTATGCTAGCAAGTATGCCGTTTATATTTATGCACATAATTTAAAATAATTTAAAGTTTGATAAAATTAAAAATTTTCTAAAAAATTTTAATGTGAAAAAATTGCTGACATTGCATTTTTTTACAATTTTACTGAACATTGTTAACAAAAATTCGTAATCTTGTGGATACATCTCTTTCTCAAATATCTAATTTTCAAAAACACAAAGTATGTAATACTTTTTTTATTGAAATTTAATATATATTAACTTGAAAGATTCTGTTATTTAATTTTCTGGAATTATTGGATTAAAAATTAGTATTTTTTACTTCATTGTTGACTTATCGGAAATTAATTTTCGTAGGAATGATATTCATTGGAATTTAAAGTATAAATATATCTCTTATATTTGTCACGTACGTATAGTAAATGTTGTCGTAATAGCAATTAAGCCTTAGACAATAGATCGCGTGCCACTAACAATCTCATACATCATATTACCACGAAACGTTCAACATTGTATTAAATCTTCTCGGCGATACAATGCAATATATTTTATGAGAGAGACATATTTATTTTAGGTTTGTAACTTTTTGTATGAGTTCTTGTTTACAGAAATTATCAGTAATTTGCATAATAATATTTTGTTTATAATTAAAATTCTGAAAATTTGCGCAAAATATATTTACACCTCATTTGTACATATACACAATTCATAGAGGAAAATCGAGTGGTATCGGATAAGAATTGTTTAAAATTTTAGATGCATGTAACAGCTTTTGTTAAGCTATTGGCAAATCTACTCACACATGAGAGCCAGGACTTCTCTATTGAGAATGAAGGCAGTGTTTGTGAGTTATTATGTGTGAGTTATTATGTTTTGTTATGTAACTGTTGCCAGCATAGAGTTAACTGTATATATTAATCAGTCAATATGTAAGTCGAATTTTGTTTTTAGTTTATCAATATAGTATCTATTATTTTTTATATCTATTATTTTTTAAATTATAGTTATAATATCGTTTATAATATCGTTTTTATTTTAAAATTCCTTTTATACATTGTTTCTTTGTTGTACATCATTTAGATGGTATCGAGTATTTTCTTGTTTTTGTTTGATAGTATCGAACATTTTTCTTATTTTTTTGAGAGTTTGGAATAGTACATTACGAGATAGATTAAAAGCTATTGGAACAAGACATATTACTAAAAAATCACTACTCATAGATAATCGCGGAACCTAAAAATATGTTTAAAAAAATTCATTTTCAAAACAATACTACCTACAATTGGCAAAATATTACAAGAAAATGTAATAATATTTCATTTCGTCAACGACATATTTTTATATTTAAAAATGTAAAAGATTGGCTACTTTTATTTTTAGAAAAATAAAATTAAAAGTGTGTTTTTTAATAAAAATAATGTTTTATGTACATTACATTTAATTTTCGTCATCCAAGAAAACGAAACCTCGAAAAATCTAAAATGTTCAATATTACTCAGCCTTCTCGTATTATCACAATCAATATCTTTTCTATAAATAATATGTCTTAGAAGATTGTATTTAAAATATAATATTATCTTTTTCTCTCGTTTCCTAATTTCGTTTCCCTTACATATATTCGTTTTTTTAAATCCTATATTTAAAGTCGAATTTTTATCGAAGAATTGTCAGTTCCTTTTCTCGGTAATAAAAACAATTTATTAAAATAATTAATAATATATAAAATTTTTGGTGTTGTGCGTTTTAGGCCAACGACAGATGTAACCTGAGAATCATCACAAGGATCATCACAAATTTGATGATATTCATACTGGCCCGTGATTCGACGCCATTCGCTAGGTGTTTCCCTGCAAAAGAAATTCTCTTATTAATTTGCTATTACAATGTATTATAATGATCACTATGTGATGTAATAACTATATGATAATATGTATGAAATAATATTCTAAAATATTAGTAACTGCATAGAAATATTCTAAATATTTTTGCAATAATGAATCCAACAATTCATTTGTTTAAAAAGCGCATAAGACGAGTAGAGAGATTTTATGATTAATAAAATGTTTCATGCCGCATCAATTTTAGGTGATTTGTCTGTTGCGTGGAAAACAGACGATATTCTATATTTGTTATGTAAAATGTAATTTATAACATATTTAATTAAAAATTCAAAAATTATTTTTATAAAAAACAGCTTGAACAGAAAGTCTAGCTCACCGTCCGAATGTCTTAGATCATCGGTGACCCATCACAGAAAGTGTTAATAAAAATGTGTTCTTGATACATAATAACATAATTAAGAATAAAAATAATTATATAATTGATCTTACAGAATATATATATATATATTTCTTTTACAATACTATCGCCATTCAATTTAAAAGTCGACACCGCATGCGATAATAAGTTCGTAATTCGAGCATAGTTCGCGGATCGGATGATTCCAAAGTATATTCTTGCATTTGCATATCGACACCCTTGGGATTACGAATGACATTGCTATGATATCGTATCACGAAGTTATAATAAAGCTAAAAATGATACTTTGTATTACTCTGAGAAATTTGCACTTTGTATCATGAAATCTGCCGAGATAAAAAAATGCCTTTTTTATCGACATTATTACAAAGATTAATCATAGAATAATTGTTCTATAATCAGCTTCGCTTTAGATAATCGCCTAGATAAAGTTTTAATCAACGCGCATGTAGGCGCATCAATAAAACGCCTGCCTTTGAACTCATATTTCGCAATATGCTATAAGTAGACAAGTATCTCCGATTGATGTCGTATAACTTCAAAAATTGTATGATTTACGACAAGAAAGAGCGTAAAATAGTATTTATGATAGACAAAACGCCTAAAGAATTTTAGCGCTTACAGGTGGAAGCCAAGTACGAATGACAACAGCATTCCCGCAGTCTCGTATATTCCGCACAGTCTTCAGCGTGCACCTTGCATTCCTCTGGTCCCACGCGACAAGTGTGCTCGACGAAGAGAAACACTTCTGAAACAACAAACAGATAAATTACATTCTCGTGACAAGCAGCTTTCTTGTAACGTGTATTTTCTTAACTTTGATACTTCGGAATTTGGCAACTTCGAGCAAAATAATGACCAATACATTTAATTTTTATTGTTCAGTATGAGATCGATGTAACTCTGACTATATTATCTTTTTTTTTATAATTAAATATCACCTATATTTTTGCTAGCTCTCATTAATCACGTTATGATTTTCTAAATGGCCATCTGCCTATTATTCTTTGATCCAGTTAATAACCGGAGTTATTGTAAATAATAGATTAATAGTACTTGAATAAGTAGTGCAATTGCAGTAGGAAATTACGACGTCACGAAGGCATTGTGCCGTTAAGGCGTAGCAAACATAATTTTACGCATATCTCGGAGGGGCTTGAAATCTCCATTAAATATAAGTGTTGCGATAATTAACCGGTTTCGTGGGACGATAATTAATTTACCTAACGATATCGGAGGCTTCCGGCATGTTATCAATTCCGGAAAGAATGACATGAATGATTCGAGATAAATGCCTCGACACAAATGCTTAATCGATCGCAAGCGATTAGAAACGAGCGCAAAACGCACGGATGATTCACAAATGCGATTGCAAGGTGGTTCGAGTTTTAGATATTCCACGTGCATAGCTGCTGCGTGCAACAATGCAACTTCGTACACCTATAGAATTTTCACGCGGGTCATGCAATGATAACGAATTCAACGTCTTAAACGAACGAAAATACAAATAATTCACAAGTAATTTAGAAACACCTTTAATTCTACACACGACAGTATTTCTATACTTTTTTTTTTAAATTAATACTTATCGAACTTCTTGAAAGTTTTTAAAAAACTTTATAGGCATAAAAGTTTACTTTCTTCATACATATATATATTTATGTCAATATATAATTTAAAAATATAATTTGTAATTGGAAAACTTTATAAAAAAATCAAATCGTGTTTGAAATGTCTTTTTTAATTAATCATTTTAAATTCGTTATGCTTGCTAGCGAGATAGAAATAAGTTTATAATTTGGTTTGATTATCGATGTTTATTTCTTTTGAGAAGTGTACAAGAATGTACAAACTTGTAAATATGTTAATATTGTCATTTAATGTTTGGTTTGAAGTAAGTTCATCCAATAGTGTTTCATGGCATACTATATCGTGCTAATTAGAAATTCGAGCAAAGGTTGTGCAGGTCGATGAACGATAGTTCTGTTTGAGGAGTTCGGGAAGTGTGCAGAATGCTCAAGTGACTCTCGATGACTCGCGCGAATGAATCACTCGTTAGATCTTATACACGCGTGTGGAAGGACAAGGATAATTCATTACGACGAGGAATGATTTCCTGAACAGGTGACTGCCCTTCCGTTCAAAAAAAAAAAGGGAATTAAACTCTTCTCGGCATATAAAAAAATTATGACCTTTAAGTCGATAAATTATATGACGTTTAAATAATTATTTAGGTTAAAGGAGGGTTAAATTTAAAATAATTTGAATTGCGATTTACAATAATTTAAATTTGAAAATTGATAGTTATGTAATTTTAACATTCTTCTTCTTGCAATCTTAACGTCTCTAATATTATAATTTATTTCTAGAAGCGAACGATGTCAAGTTTTGTTAATAATAAATACACTTTATTGAATTAGTTAAGTAATTGAAAAATAATCTAAAAAATAGATTTTTTTTTAATAAAGCATAAACATATATAGTTAGACTAAATTTATGATATGACTTATTCCTTTAAATACATAAACTTATCACAATTTTAGCGTAATATTTTATATAGAACTACATAACATTCGTAGTACCAAATATTAAAAATTTATTTATTCATTATACTCTTTCAATTTAATATTACTTTTGTATCACATCTTTTACATTTGAACAATTTTAATAAATAATTTTTATAAGCTTCCGAAACTTTCTGAAGGTACCTCTAAGGATACCGCGAGGAAATCTATAACATACGTAAGCGTTTTGTCGATCCCACGGTTATTCAAGGTATTAACATGCATTTCGAGTTGTAACGTACGGCACGTAGTGTATCGACTAAAAATAATTGTGATTACGTCGCACGACTCGCGTTGGTATTGTGTAAATTGTGAAATTGCGCTCACTATCATTGCCGTTGCTCTAAATTTCCGTGAAGCGCGGTTGCACAAGCGCTCGCCACGGCCGATTGTTCACGCACGAATTCGTCGGCCGGGGACTGTGGTTTTTCATACGACTTCATCACTGCATGAATAAACGAAGGACGAGAGTGGAAAATACAACTTCCGTCGTCGAGAAGGTTAAGCCGATTTCGATCGGCTTGTTGTTACTGCCGAGATAAATCACGTGCTGCTTCGTTAACTCATCATAAAATGAGTTACGGGCGCTCGCGTATAATTTTATCTAGAGTGTTATTAATTATATTATCATTCCACATCGAGAAAAGGTAAAGTAATATATGCTGGAATTCTAGTAAATTTGAAATTGAGGTCCATATATAGAGAGACGCCCACTTACGAAAAATTTACTTTACTTTTTTGGTAAACGAACAGTCGTCGTATAGCCACACTGTAAGATGAGTTTTACATTTCATAAAATAAATTTTATGCTACTGCAATTTGTTATTTATTTCTCAATCTGTAAATTACCGTACATAAAATTTATTTTATCAACAAATATTTTTTGCATGGTGCTAACAAAATATATTTGCGCGGTAATAAAATATACAAATAAAATCTTGAGAGTTGTTCGAGTTTACAGTCTTGAGAATAGTATGATTTACTTTACTGTAAAATAATAAGTAATAACTGAATGAATTTCCTATAATTGTAATGTAACTTTTTACCTTACACCTCTGATATCTTTTATTTTCAGGCAAGCAAAGTTTATCATCAAAAATATTCCACAAAAATAGTCAGAATAGTTTTACTTACAAAACTAGTCAGCCTTACAAAATTATTCATTTATTTTCCATGCAACCTCGAATACCTACTATTGAAGCTGCCGTCGCAACAACAATGATCATTGATAACGCTGCCATTCTTGCAGTAAGTCATCTCGGAGTAGGTGCAAAGCTTGCATCCCGGAATGGGTCCTGCAAATAATAAGCGATTAGTATAAATAATTGAGAGAGAGAGAGAAAGAGAGAAGAAGAAGAAGAGAGGGAGAGGAAAGAGTTTGAACTAAAGAAAAAAGATCGGCAATTTGAAAAATTGCCGTATTGTTATAATATCTTCAATCTTCGTCACTGAACGAGTAAAATGGCACGTGCAAGACGCCGTATTTCTCAGGAAGAATAAAGCTGAACGTACGACGACTACTTATTAATTAAGGATTATATTTCATTAACCTCGATGCCGGCGACTGTGATTAAAATACATGACAATCGCGTCGAATCCGCATCCATGATTCACGTTAATTAGCATCTCGAGGCTCCTTACGTAATCTTTTATAAAATTGTGTCGCGGACATAGCGAATTATCTGCTTGTGACGCGACGATAGAGATGTATCGTCGTATCGACATCGATCACAAATATGTATATTGTATATAAGTTTCGCCTTCGCGAATCGTTAGACCGTGCTAAATTTGCGATAAGAGATCGCGTATTCTTTGTATTTACAATATTTGATGAGAAATTTTAATTGAATTATATGAGAACTACGCACACAATGACCGAGAATTTCTAATTGCCGTTAACAGCATTATACATACAGCAATAATTACCGATTTTCTTTTTTTATCATTTCAATAACAATTGAAAGTTTGAAATCGTTCGCACATAACAAGCAACAGGTGTATGGCAGTCTTTACAAGGTTTCTCCGAGTCACGACTAAAGGATTGAATTACAGAAATTAGGACTGCACGACCGACAATTCCTAATTCACGCGAATAATATTAGGGGGTAATCATCAACTTCCTCAGTCATTCGAATTATTGTAATGAGAATCATGCTTAGTTGGTCGCGTTGTTACAGTATTATCATCAGGTGTCTCGATGTGATGTGAACGTACGTATACAACAGAAAATTCATACGCTATAAAATGAAAAAAATGTAAAAAAATTTTTAATCTAATAGCAAACAGTAAAAATCAAGAAAATTGAATTTTCATGGATTAACAATAGAAATTGTACTTTTAATTTCTCACATTTATTATTAATTACCACACTTTAATTTGTAGTAATTAATGATGATTTTAATCATAAATACATAACGTATACATAATCTTCTGTATTATCGAATCATTAATATGTACGTAGTATAACAATTTAAAAGAATTGTTGATGAGTTAGTATAAAATTTATCGTTTTTAGTGTATTAAGGTGTGGATAAAAATTTATTTTGTAAAATTAATTCAAAAGCAAATTAGTATACTAAATACGATTTGTTACTATACATTACAAATAAATTATAATTTTTGTATAGAACGTAGAAGCACGTGCAAGTTAGATGGAAAGTTAAATTTATTAAACAAAATTTTTAGAAATAAAATAGCCAGCATTGCTATGATTTAAATACAAAAATAGCGTGTTCTATTCTTTGTGAACACGCATACCTTTCTTATCGATGTCGACTAGGATGTGATTGACAGAACAAAAATTTTGGAACGTCAATCGTGCGACGCTGGTTAGATGGATCAAAGCAGCTATTCTCGGAGGTAAGATAAATACATTTCTGTGTATCGTAAGGAAGCTTTATGGACCGGTCGTAGGAATCAGGCAAGAGCGTTAATGCGACGCTTTTAGCAACTGGACTAAATTGGAAAAAAAGGCTGCACTAAGAATGCTGTTAAGATGTATCAGTATATATTGTAACATTTGGAACTTGGAAAGAAATAAATTCTTTTAAAAATAGATTCCTCGACAAATTTGCTTTCTTCAATTTATTGACAAGGATATCAAGACTCATCATAGTTTCTTTTTATAAACAATGAAATAAACGGATAGTTTTTTATTATATTGGAATTAAGTAAAAATAAATAGACATTAATTTTTTTAATTTTATTTTAAGATATAACAAAATTATTATTTGAAATTAATTCTTGAAGTATTAGTACCTAAATTTAGAAAGTTACTTGAGTAAAGAAATTTATTTAAATCTTACCAAAGAAAAATGAAAATTATTAAAAATATAAGACTACTATAAAATTTCTAATATTTTATATGTTAAAAATATCCTGTGTGTCCTTATATAAATTTTAATTTTTACATATATGTATAAGAAATTGTTTATTTCCTTAAACGCTCGACGTTCCTAAAATGATTTCTTATGACCGTTTCCACCAATGTAGATTAACTTTAATTTCGGTTCAATTTACTCTTCGTCTTTTTCTAATTTTTAGAACTAGAAAAAGACGAAGAGTAAGTTGAACCAAGATTAAAGTTAATCTACATTGATAGAAATAGGCATTAATGTGCGCGGGAAGATTATATTCTTATATGTATAAATAGAATAATATTGAGAAAAATTCTAGAAGAATTCTGCTTAATTCTATAGTTTTATACGTAACGTTATTGACAAAAAATAATTCTTACCAGAATATATCTCCAGTTTCTTCGCTTCAACGAGCGCGTCTTTGCGAAGGACTTCGTGTTCAAGGATATATTCATCGTCAGAATGATGGTTTACGACTGTAATTGCCTCGAAATTGTCGAGGATTAGGAAGAGTATCAGGATACTAATCGTACCGATGTTGATCATGCTAGCATCGCCTGATTTCTCATCTTCGAGAAGCGTTATCTTCTCAATTACAATAAACGTCTTCTGCCTCAATCTTTCTTCGTTGATGAAATAATTTCTGTCAAATTTAGAAACAATAAAGTTTAGTTTATTTTCTAGAATATTAGTAAAAATACTAAATAAAATTTAGTTCCATTCATAGACTGCTTTGTCATGAAAAAAAATTAGATTACTTTCAGATTCTTAATTGCAATATAATTTTTCCAAATAGTTCAGACGTTTCTTAATGAAAATTCACAAAATATTTGCAATTAATAATTTGCAATTATTAAATATATATAAATGTTTGTATTAACAATAGCAATATCTGAGAGATTGTACCCACAACGCGACGAAGTCGATCTTGAATGGAACAATACAAAAGCTGTAAGATCAACTACGACTCTGAACTCAACATGCGTCTCTCTTATTGTCCTGAATTTCAGTAGGAATACATACAATGAAGCAACTGTCGCAACCGGAAGTGTACAGAAGATACGACATGGAAGTACACACAGCGACGCTGTCACGTGCGATAAAAAATATATATAATTTTCGTTCACACGTTTAAATTTTATTTTGTTAATTAAATTTTTTTTTATTTTGTATTATATTCTAATTTTAGTTTTAGAAGTTAAATTTTCTTGGCTCGATCATCATCGCGTCACATTTGAAAGTGAAAGCATAAACCTCTACTTGATCGTGTCAAGCGATCGTTTTACGTCAGTTATATAAATGAGCGTTACATATGTTGCTAGTATGGGGAATCGATATTGTTATAATATTCAAGAATCCACGCGAAAAAGCATTGGCGCGACGGGCGCGGCAGCAACATGAAGATGCCTTTGATATCGATCGCCTCGATTCGCCATGTTTTGGGAGAGGGGGATGATTCATCCCCCGTTATTCACGATTTAATTCGACGCACCCAGAGTTTTTCTCCCTCCAACGACGCGACAAGCCGGTCGAATTCGTTTTTGTGAAATTGATCGCAAAACAAATAGTTCCAATCTAAGAACACAAGCAAGGAAATTCTGAGTGATACCACACACAATGATTAAACCCATTTCGTTGAATTTAATCGCCCAAACAAAACAATTTCACCACCGCAAAGCCGTTGCTTGTGTTGCGAAAGTTGACTTTTCAGAATTTATTTTTTTTTTCTTTCTTCAACATTAGATTTCCAGTAAGATATATACAGGAATGTTGATCTTTTGAATTTTTTATTAAGAATTCTTTCCTTCTCTTTCTAAAAAAATGTATTGCAATCTATTAATATAATTTTAATTTAATATAAAAGTTGTACAGCTATAATAGTATTATTAGTATTATAGTATTAAAGTATTATTTACTATAATAGTAACTTATATAGCTGTAAAACTTATATGTATAAAATTAATTAAATATGAATTAAACATCTTATAAATATTTGTCGTTTATAAAATATAATAAAAAGCATCCAACTTCAATCAAGAAAAACCCGATTAACTCGTTTGCTATACTTTTGTTACTTCTGCTCTTCAAGTATAAACCGGCTGTTAGATGTAAATACATCCTAACTTCGTTAATTGATATTAATATAATCAGCTAACACGAATTTCATATCTCATATTAATGTAAATTTTAAATTTTAATTAAAATTTTATATCAACTTTTCGCGATCTTTAATTGTAACCAAAACTAAAATATATATTTATTTTTCTTGTGCTTAGAGAGGAAGTGTCGTGCTAAATTCGTGAAATTAGAACGCTATAATATTTCCAGTTTTGATTTTTTAATATAAAAAATGCGGAACTTTTTTCATTTTGATAAGAAACTGTAGAACTATAAAAAATACTACTGAAACTATCATTATTTTTTTATGTTAATAGAATGGTGTTTCTTATAAAAATAAAAAAGAGTTCCGCATTTTTGTTGTGATCTAAAAAACCAAAATTAAAAAAGTAGCAGCCGAAATTTTGTTTAAAAATGACTGTAGAGCATAGAATTTTGCTAGACTATCAAGAAATGTCGCTGAAATTGCGATAATTAACGATGTGACTTTTTTTCAAGTGCCGTGATGTCTTGTACATTTAAAGTCTGTTAATTATCGATTGTTTTCAAATTATGATATCAAACATTAAATTGTTCGTATATCTCAAGAATCTCGGTAAATGCGCAGTACGGCGTAAAGAGGCGATAATGCTAGAATTCTGCTCGAGTTGCACGCGTCATGAGTCACAAGTCTGATGACAGCCGGTCATTAATTAGAACCAATTAAGGGCGGCCATCGCGAAACGTGGACATCTTGCCCTCTCGAACAAGAAGGTGACATCCCGACGTCTCTTCCTGCCTGATGTTATCGTTTACGAGCAGCGCAAGCCGCCTTCATTCTATTGTACGTGAAACGAAGAGCTAGCAAGTACTTAAAACAGCGTGAAAAGATAATTAAGAGCATTTGACGAATGACAGGATATGCCTTTGTTCACTTTAAAGAATTACCGACGCGGTACTGAACGCGTACTTTTTCAAGGGACATCCCAAAGAAAGATAAAAAGTGATCAATTTTGAGGCGTTTTGACATTTTTGAGATTAGAAAATATAAACAGACACTCTCTCCCCATGTGTCCGCTAGAATTTGTAAAAGATATAGCAAGGATTTTTGTGGAATAAATGCTCTTCATATTCTATTTTAATGAAAGAGTTGTTTATTTTAATAAAACATGTATTAATTAAAAATAGAACTGCACAAATATAGTTGTTTAAAATAAATATAATAATAACGTAATTCCAAATAATCTGAAAATGCTTAAAATATCGATATAAATTTTGCAACTCTTGACTTTGAGTCGTTTCGCTGTACCATCCGATTTTTACCTGCGCGCGGTCTCAAAAAGTATTGCGTAACTTTCTAAATATTTAGAATTTTGAAAATGATTTTAGAGACATTCTCTACATGTTAAATTTTTGCAACAAATGCAACAAATTTTTTCGATTTTTTTACCGTTTCGATAAAACTGATCCCTTAATACATGTTTAAAAATTAATATCTTGAAATTAATTGTATTAAAATGTAATATTTTTTGCTTCCAAATATTTGAATTAAAAATTAAATAAAACACTTAGAGTAAAATGTTTTAAAAATAATCAAAATCCTTGTTATTATTTTTATTAAGTATTTTATCATTAATAGGAAAATGTTGGGTGAGATTGAATAGCAGCTGATATTGGACAAGAATTAAAATTGTTTAAAATTTTAGACACATACAACAATGACATTTTTTTATGCAACCAGAAGCAACCACGGCTAAGGCTATCTTCGTCTTCCGATTCCTGAAGACGAAAATAACGTTAGTTGTAATAGCTTCTGGTTGAATAACAAAAAAACGCCTTAGATTTGTCAAGTCACTGGCAAGTCCATTTGCACATTAAAGCCAAGACCGGAACCTCGGCATATTGAAAATAGAAGCAATGTTTATGAATTATTGAACATTTTGCTGTGTGGCTGTTATGTTATGTCGGCACGGAGTAATTCCATAAACCAGTCATATCATAAATATATAAAACTTCTATTATTCTCTTTAAATTGTGGGTTTAAAATCTTTTTTATTTTAAAGCTGCTTTCATATGTTGTTTTACCATTGCGTGTCATTGGGGGTAGCGAACAATAAAGTGGTGGACAATACTGGACAATCTAATCTAAGTAGTTAACGAGATTTAGTTTCTGACAGTTTTGTTTTGTTCTCGGTAAATATGGGGAATATATGTATGAGACAAAAAGAAAAAGAGAGTGTGATATTAATTGTCAACAAATAAAGAAGTAACAACAGAAGCAAAACAAATTCTGTTCCGAAAAAAAGTATATATATATATATATACATATAAATGATATAAATTAACTCCTAATCAACTCTTAATAATAATTTTCTAAGTATTCACTTGTCTGCTGCAGGCATTATTCGGAAATAAAATGTCTAACTACAATCATAATTGTGTTTGTTTGGTTAAAGGATTATTATAATTGTTAGATAATTATAATTGTCTATGCTCAAAATATACTTTTAGACTCTTTATAGATTTAAATTAATACACTAATCTAATAATAAAGGATATCGATATAATTTTTTCTCTATAGAGCAGAAATGTGAAAAGTAAAAATTTTTTGTATTGTATACACATACAAAAAGTTTTCACTTTTCACGCGCGCGCGCGCGCGTTTTTACTTTAGAGAAAAATTGACCTTTAGAAGTAACAATCATTAAAAGCTTGAGGGAATCTTAAAGTTGTCTGTATTACAAAAAATTTTTCTTAAGATTTCGAAATTTTTGTCGTTCTCGGTATAAACTCCACCTCCTAGACACGTATAAATGCGTTTATTTTAATCCTGTACAAGGATTCTCGAATGTGTAAAATAAGAAAAAAGTAATTGTTTTTGACTTCGAAATCTCTCTTTTGGCTTAGAAATCTCTCTTTTAAAATATATATGATCCTTCGGTTTAGTTTCCTATGCGAGATGCATCGATTGCATCTTATTTTCCTAGCGGATTACAGCGTGTACAATATTGCGTTTGACTGCAATGTCGGATTATTTGATACATGTTCTGATAGGTAAATGCAGTTTAAACGCGTCGTGTTAATTATAATATTACCTGCTTTCGGTGCCACTGTGTATGTTCGTCAATTTAACCGTCACATGTCTGTCTCTGTGTTATCCTTTTTCCGATTCGAACAGCTGAACAGATTTTCTATATTCGCGTATTCTCTCGCGATTCCGAGAAGGCGATATTCTTCGGATAAAAATTATATACGAAATTATTTACGAAATAAGTTTTCAACTATGATAATGGTATGATAATATAATCGCCATAATACAAAAATTATGATTTAGCCGGTACAGGCAGCTTTAGAAATCGACCCAATACTGAATTGTAAAGAATCTAAATTTTAAAATTCTAAAAGAATACTCCAGTCGCGCAGACAATAATCTTTCAATAGTTACAAAGCTACTTTTTTGTTAAATACAACTAATATTTCAAGTTTTTATCATTTCAATTTTTATCATGTATATTACATTTTATTTTTACCCTCCAAGAAAATAAAATCTTATACATCTGATACTTGATACTAACCTAACTATCTCCTAACTTGATTTACTGTTGCCTTTCTTTTATAATTTGTTTATTTAATATAAAATGATCAATTTAATTTAAAATCATATGATCCGAATTCTTATCGTATTATACGATACGTCAAAACAGCATCATCAAACATTATCGCTTTATTTTTCTGCGAACTTACATATCTACAACTTGATAAAATTATCTCTCACAAACATGCAAACGACAATTTGCGGTTAAAGAAACTTATAAATTCTTAAACTTCATAAATTCTTACCAGCATTTCACTGTATGGTTTCCAGCAATAAAAATTCCAACTCTCTTACGTTTCTTTAAAGCGTCACTTTCTCGAATGGATTTCGAAAAATCTTCACGTACAGTCAATTAATTATTTTCAATGTCATTGAAATATGATAAAGAGACCCAATCACTCAAAATTTACAGTATAGATTTACTTAGTTCGCAAGCTTCTTACACTTTCTTATCAAAACAAAGTTTGAACAGATATAATAATATTTGAAAAAAAAAAGTGTAGTTGATTGGTGTTACGGACTAGAGTAAATACATATGGCAAGTGCAGATCGACGGTTAAAATCGACAGTGAACAACAACGGCGGAAAATTGCAACGGACAGACAGGCAACCGTCGAAGGCTACGGACCGCGTAGAACTGCGGATTGAGGGCTGAAAAGAGTATCAACGTACCAAGCCGCTCCACCACACCACCTTCGGTGGTTCTGCCTTTGTTACGTACTCGGTCTGTTGCCAAAGCCGGTGTCTAACATGTGTTGTGGAAAACACAAATCAGAATAATATAACAGAATCGCGTGTGCAGAAAATCAACTTCCCGATATATACTTGAGAAAGAAAAATAAGAGTCTGAGAAACGTATTTACTTTAAATAAAATAAATTGCTCTATTTTTAACCTCTTGATAATATTTAAAATAAGATTCTCTTCTTTAAATAAGAAACTAGATGACTTACGATTATTAAAAATTTTGTATGTAATTTGTTGTATGTTGTTTTGCTTAAGATTAATAAGTATTTCATTTCTCTTTCTTTAAATATTAAATATATTAATATTAATCTTTAAAGGTGAACCATTAACAGGTCTTTATAATGAAAATAAATTAGACAAACAAGTACAATTTCGTTTAGTTTTGTACAAAAATTATATTCAAAGATATTTCTGAAAATTATATGCGCTAAAGTATAATTAATAAAAATAAGACGTTTATTATGTTATATAAACCTCTTCGCGAATGTGGTGTATAAATTATACCAAATTATACGTAACGCGATAAATACAATTTAACTAATGAGATGTACTTACCAAATGAAGTTCTTCATCTTGATATCCTCAAAATAATTTTTTAACTTACAAATTTTCAAATAAAGCTTCAATAAGATGTTTATATCAGAAAATAATTTAACAAATTTTCAAATAATTTGAAAATGCGTAGTTCCATCCAGAATTCATATGGTCTAGCCAAGATAAGAAAACTTACTAACTCAAGAGAGAGAGAGATGTTACTCGATTAACAATCAAGAATGGAATTCTTTCAAACAAAGTTAAAGTAAATAAAATCGTTTTGATTCTGGATTAGGAAGCCCTCTTCAATGCGGAAGTCAAACTACAATGAAAGCGCAAGAGAGAACCGGATATATTATAAATATTCTCCTTCCTTTGTTCTATATAGCTAGGTAAACAAGCAGAGAAGAAGGAGAAAAGGGAATGAAAAACTTGTATCAAAACTATAAATAAGACAAATAAGATAAATAAGATTAAACGTTTTGTTTTAAGATATATTTTTGTCCAAGATTTCGACGTTACCCCACTCGAAATCATGCGAATATTTTAAATAATGTTCTGTAATAACAGTAATGACAGATGTTTGTGTATTATTGTGTACATCATATTTCTTTTTGATGTAATTCACACACACACACACACACACACACACACACACACATGTGCTTATTAATGAAGATGACTCAAATCCAGAGTTGAAATGTTTGCGTTTACTTAAACTTTATTTGATAAGTACATCCCAATTGATTACAAATTTTATCTATTGTGTTTATAAATATATAATTTACGCACTAACATCCGCAGAAGCTCACATAACCATTTTACTTGTATTAAATTTATTCTTGAAAAGATCCACTAATATTAATAATTTATTTTATTGTAACTAAAATATAACTTAACTCAATCTCTTCTCGTATTTTGCTAATGACCACTGATCGGTGACTTTCTTTTTGTAAGCACTCTTCTTTATTTTCTAAAATATACATTTGTTAATGTAATACGAACGGAACACTATGAATCTTCAATTGTAAACAAAGTGTATATAATCTTTTAAAGTATTTTATTGTATTCTTCTATAAATTCCTGAAGATAAATCTTTTTTAAAATGCTTTAAGAATTTCTTATTTACTCCGAGTTTATTTATAGTTTTCTACATTTAAGTTCTTTATAAATCAGTGTATCTAATCTGTTCGAAATGAATTCAAAAAGAATTAAAAATATACACAATTACATTTATATGCATATTTGTATATATGTTACCTTTAGTAAAAATAATATTTAATTTGTATAAAAATCAAAATATAATTTATTATTGTACAAAATTAAGAAATAGAAAAGTAATACTTTTAAATTTGAAAAAGCGCTTACAATTGGTAACATAAGAGTGAAATTTTTTGAACTCACAAAAAACTTTTAAAACAGTAGTAAAAAAAACGATACAGAAATTTATTTCCTAATAATAAATTAGAAATTAAAAAGAATTTTTTTCGAACTCTGTACTATCTTTGAATTTGCACCGAGAAAAAGAGAAAAAGAGAAATAAAGAAAAAGAGAGCACGTACGGTGTTACCAAAATAGCATTTCTTATATGTACGTGCGAAATAATGTAAACGAGAAAGTCATTGGCATTCTATTACAAATTCGACATTACAAATAAAAGTTTAACGACAATATTTAATTATGTGTATTTTGTTTTGGAATTTTTTAATATAAAAAAAACATAAAAAAACAAGGTAGAGTGAACAGGGAACAAAAATAATATTTTAAATTTGAAGTTTTATAACAATTAAAATATAATATCCTCGTTAAAAATAACCTGTATCTTTAGATATAGAATTTATTTAACTACGTAAATAATGCATTATATACTTTCACTTAAAAAGAATATATTTTAGGTTTTGTGCATACATTAAAACATACTTGATATATTAAAAAAAAACTTACAAGTACATATACCTATCATAGTTTCAAAAATATTAATGATGTTATTGTACCCTACTGTTTTTGTTCCTATATCCAGCAGCATAGAAGATTCTAGCGATATTACAAGAATATATTGCAACATTTCTACAATATTGTTGAAATGCCTATCTGAGCCCAGTTATTCATTTTAATAAATGATTTACCTAATTTCATTGATTAGTAATTAAATTAAATTAAATTAAATTTATTTTTTGTATAATTCCTTTAATTTTACGCATCTTTAATTTTACAAAATATTAAAATTGACGCATGCATGAGTGTATACAATATAAAACATAATAATTATTCCATGTAATAATGACAGCAATTATATTTATTTTAAGCATAACGAATGTTATAACTTTCAGTTTCCACGAAAAATCTAACAAAACATTTTCTTTCGATAGTTTAAATGTAGGTGGATTTTGAGTATATTGTTAACGGTCGTAGGGCTGTTAGGCACGTACGCACGCATACGCATATACATTTTTCTTATTCTTATTCAACCGTTGGCCATATCTGCGAATATAAGTATGCACGATGAATAGTATATCCGAACCAGACGATCACAGATGTACAAAAGCTTCGGTGTGTGCGACAGACATGCTGGTTGGCGCAGGCACCTGGCCACGATAGGGTCGAGAATAAGCGACGTGTACGGGTCGTTTTATGGTGGTGAGCTCGTAAGGAAGGCTCGGTTATAAGAAGGGTCCCCCTCACATACACTATTGATCCCGACGAAGGTTTCTTATTTTTCCCGATCCTGAAAGAACTCGAAAAAAAAAGAATAAGAACCGTCATTTCTGTCAGCAGTTCTTGTCGGTTTGCTTTCTTCATGTATTTTACATTAGAAAGAGATTGTTCGCTAACCAATAAGGAGTGAATAACAATGACACGGTAGATAAAATCATCAAATTTTTTAGTTAACAAATGCGTAGTACATTTAGCACTTGTAGAATTATAGTTGTAAGGCTGATTAATAGATAATCGGAGTAACTACGAGATTAGTGGAGCAGTGCATGAATATGCTTTAGTGTCTAGATTTGAGAAAGTAATGTAAATCTCGAGTTTTCGAATCTCAGTCGACTCTGTTAATCTTTTCATCGCTTATACATTGAATGTTATCACAGATTAAAATATAAATATTAGTATACAATTCAGTTCCGCGAATAATTAACGAATATTGCCATAAAGCAATTGAATTTTCGATCAATCGAAATTACAATAAAGCGGGACAAGTGTGGTACATTGCTGACGACTACCTCCTTTTATTATCGCATTTTTCGAAAATTAAAAAAGTTCTAGTATCAAAGCTCGAAGCGTTTTGGCGATCATCATAGTAGTCAGCTGTTTTATTCAGAATGCGTTCTATTTGGCGCTCATAACGCTCGTGAGCATTATTTGTCCTTGTTTAACATTTGATAAATAACAAGGTTGAAATTGTTCCATGTGCGTTGCGAGTGTCAAGTAGAATGTATATAATCAGAAATCTTTAATTAGTGTTATTAGAACCGTGCTTCGGCTGTGAACTGTCAATACTAAAAATCTATAATATATACAATCGTGAATTATTATACAGGGTGCGGCGCCAAAATCCGGACAAATTTCAAATTGAAATTCCCTCCGTTCAATACCATTGATAGATATCGCGATTGGCATTCAAATAGCTTGACGCATGTACTAAACCATCATAACCTCGAAACAATCGCAATGTTGAAACCAAGTGCGGAGTATAACCGAAGAGCCGCGATTATCGAAAGTATTCGCGCCGGGCGCTCGGCGACAGAAATCATTCGTTTCTTCGGGTACCCGAGATCGACTGTGTATGATATCTTCGCAAAGTATCATGAGTCGGAGAAGTCCAACGAAGGTTCTGCAACACCGGCGAGGAAATTCCACTCGAAGGAGCGCGTTGTCAGGACGCCCGACATCATTCAACGGGCTCAGGAGCTGATTTTTGAGGATCCAGGGCAGTCGATCCGAAAATTGTCGTCGGTTGTTGGTGTGAGCGAGAAAACTATGCGTCGAATCGTCGAGGAGGACCTTCGCTACAAGTCTTACACAATTAAAGTGAGACAGATGCTTTCCAAAGCCGCTAGGACAAAGCGAGTTGAACGCTGCAACCTGCTTTTATGTTCCTTAAAACACAATGCTGCCGGACGACTCAAGTTTTTTTCTGACGAGAAAATTTTTACTGTGGATGCGAAAATCAATCGAAGGAATGACCGCTGGCTCACTCACAACCCTGAAGATGTCCCCATTGTTGCAAGAACGAAATTTCCGGCGAATGTTCACGTGCTAGGTGTTGTGTCCAGTGAGGGTGATGCCACCGCATTTTTTTAACAAAGGGGAAAATGTCACAAAAGAAGTTTATTTACGTGTTCTGACAAATGTAGTGAAGCCG